CTACTTCTCTCTCTCTCTCTCTCTCTCTCTCTCTCTCTCTCTCTCTCTCTCTCTCTCTCTCTCTCTCTCTCTCTCTCTCTGATTGCGCCTCTTCTTCTTCATAAAATATTTATTTCCAAAATTACAGCCATGTACATTCTGCGTCATCGAGTTCATCCGGCTTATCGATGCGATAGCATATTTTAATGCTCGTACTTTTCTGCCGACAGTGCCGCCCGATATTCTGGACTACGACACCAGCACGGACATGGTGGTGATGGAGGGACGAAACGTGACTCTGCGTTGCGCCGCGACCGGTTCCCCGGCGCCTAACATCACCTGGCGACGCGAGGATGGTCAGCACATTCAGCTTGGGAACGGGGATGATGGTGAGTTTTAACGAGTTGCTCGCGAACGAGCGTAATTCGCAGTCAGGCCGGTGATAAAGCCGGGAAAATTTCGCTGAATTAAGGTGACTCGCTTTCTCACAGCCGCCCCCCTTTTTCGTCTCCTAGTTACGGCGAGAGCTAATCGAATACGACGAGCAAAAGACGTGGCATTTGATACTTGGTTGGCAAAGTGCACTCGGCGATCGTTCGAGATGCGGTCCTTTTCCAGGATTGCGCTTTTAATCCTCTCCTACTCTTTTAAGCGTTCGCCTCGAAATGTATCAAGTATATTTTATGTATCATTAATTCCGCGCTGGACGATCACGAAATTTCTGCGCTCTGCTGTTTCCCTCGAAAGGACAGTTTAATTTTTCTCCTTTCGGTCCTTCACAAACTTTTTTACATTATATTTGCCCTCTGTGTTCCGGTTCTCTTTTACTGATATTTCCGTTATGAAACGTTGATTTCACTTGTTTCGTTTTTTTTTTTTTGTACTTTTACTTACACGAAGCTGTGAACTCGCGTAACATGTAAGCACACGAAGGGAAAACTTCGCTTATGAAGTTTGTAACTTTCATAGCTGACTTGTAAAAATATATATATATATATATATATATATATATATATATACGTACGTTTACTTTTT